TTTACAGATCAAGTCCACCACAGTGATTTCACAATCTGTCCACAGATTCTTTGTGTCCCTCCCTTCTAGAGGTAGAGCCCAATTCCTCTCCCCTGGAGTGAGGCAGGACGTGGGCACTCACGGAGGGGACAGGGGAAGGTGGTCACTGCTCACAGTGGGTCTTGCGAAATGCTCTGCATGGCCATGCTTGCCCTCTGGAGGGTGCCAGCTACCGTGTTGTGAGGTAAGCAGTCAATGCTGGTCATTAGTCACTGAAATGAGAAGGGAGAGGAGGGTTTGGCTCCCCTACTACACACACGTGGCCCCGAGTGCCATGCCAAGGACAGTTCTTCAGTGAATCTCCAGAGAATTGTGCTGACAGGAAAAAGCTAATCCCAAATGTATGATTCCATTCATATAACATTCTGCATACCCTCCTGGGCCATTTATAAAATTCTGCACTCTTTTCTTTTCACCCTTTTTCCTTCTTGGCTCTCCTTCACGCGCGTTTCTTGGGATGTTCTCTGTGCAAAATCCACTGCAAAACAGAGGCAGAGGGTGAGAGGAGCTGGTCCTGAATCTCAGGGCTGTTTGCAGCCAAGGGACCCCAAGAGACCTTAGGGAGGGCTGGGGGCTGGAGGACTGGGGGCTGGCGGCCAGGTGGGCGAAAGCCCATCCAGGAAGGGCCTGGTCAGCTGCAGAGCTCTGCGTCCCCCCTTTGTGGCAGCTGAGGCCCCTGAGCCTGGAAACAAATGTTTCACCTGCAGATCAGGCTCCCACTGGGGCGGGAGGAGATGCTGGCTCAGCGGTTCCTCAAACCGTGTACCACCTCTGCTGACCCACCCTGTCTGGGAAATGTTTTTCCTATAAATTTTCATTTAGTAGCAATGAGTTCTCCAAGAATCAAAGACATGTATAGCTGCCAGTCCAAGTTTTATTCAAGCAACCACTGAATTATTTAAAGAAATATTTATTAAGCAATAATGGTCAACAGGGATCTAGAGCCAATGGTGCCAAGGAGCACCTTACCCTCCCCTCTAGGGTAACAGTCGGAAGTGATGGAAGTGAAGAGTCAGTCTCTGCGGAGCAGCTGTGCAAGAGGGAGAGGGCCTGGGGGAGGAGGGGC